CTTATTCACCGTCGCGGGAACCTCAAATCCTACTTAAATATTCAGGTCTGTGGGACTGGCCACGGCCAAATGTGCTTCTGTTATTCGAATCGCATTAATGGTCGACGAATCTTGATGGGTGATGATTGTGATACAACAGTAGGCCTAATCTGTTCCACCAGGTGAAATCCAAACACGTTTACTTCCGCACAAGTTATCCCATCACTTGATAACATACGTTGAATGATGACACCCTACAAAAGCTCTTTTTAAACGATCTATTTCAGTGGTATTCAACCTTTTTTGTTCGCGTACCCCCAGATATAATTTCTCTTCAATTTTGTACCCCCAAAGTTGTTGGTGTATAATTCGAGTTATACGTAGTATATAATCTACATTTAAAATAAATTAAATAAATTACATTACTGATTGTTCATTGTTTATCATAAAATAATATATATATATTTTTTTTAAAAATTTCGCGTACCCCAGGTTGAATACCACTGGTTTATTTTATATAACTTGAATCTCTTGATAAATTGTTACTTTTGGTTTATTTAACGACACTTTCAACAGCTCAGAACAGGCTGTATAGCGTTTAATATTGGACAGTATGAGAACAACGAATTACAGAAGTAGATAAAAGAGTTATTGGAGTAAATGATGGTACGATCCCGGAATTTGCCTGGAGGGACTGAGGAAAAGTATATGGCAACGATCGGCGCATTAGGTCCCTCGATGTAGACTCTGCACTACACACTACACAGAATATTCTTTACGTTAGATCGTAAGCAGACTGTTAAAAATGTTTCGTAATTCGATGTATTTAAGAGAGTAGTAGGACAGCCCATCACGACAGAGAAGAAAGCCAAGTGTACACATCACAACGAACAATGTGCATGCTCTTGTTATCATGTGTGCTCGTTCCACTTAACCTTTCACTCCTAACAGCCCAGCAAACTATGTTCATAACCAAACCAATTTATTCAACTGCTTTTAACTCGTGGTATCAATATAACTTCTATAGCATAAACACAGTTTATCATCAACAGCGGAGCTGAACGAATGACCGAGATGATAGTACATCCAAACAGACAACCAACTTCAGCCTATTATAAATTGTGAAGCTCCGAAACGTCCGTTTTCCAAACTCACGATTTCAAAAATATTATAATATCCAACACGAGCTTCGTAACCTGTAAGATTACATCAAATACTGGAGGATAATGTAGAATTGAGCAACACAAAAAGAATTTTAAAAAATTAACTCAAGATTTTGGAGATCACTGACTGAGATGGGAGGGTAATATTAAAACAGATTAAAAAATTGTTTTGGTTTGGATTCGTCTTACTCGAGACAGAACCCAGTGGCGTGCTCTTGTAAACAGCAATGAACCTTAGAGTTCAAATAAAAGACGAGGATTTTCTTCACCAACTGAGCGAATATCAGCTTCTTAAAAACTGACCACAAGTTACCAGATTCGAGGTCTGTCGATGGTCCAGAGACCGGATATCCTCACACAGGTTTATCGTGGTTTTACCACGTTTCCTGGTAACAGACCACGGCCACTTCCTTGTTATCAATTCTAATTCATTATTTATTAATCATCCTATTATCCGACGCTATTAACAGCGTCGTTAAATAACCACATACAAACACAGATCCATTATTTCTTGAAGTAATAATATTAGCGACAATACAGTCAGCGTCTTGAATCTATCACTTGAAATTCCTACAGTCATTGCAATAGCGTCGACAAAGCAAAATTTCCTGACGTTCCCTCCAACTCAACGGAACACGATCCTGTACCATCTTCTCATATCCTCAACAACTACAACTCCATACTGCCTTGCTGGCTTGGCGGTGGTAACGGCTTCCTTCTAGGAAACTCCTGTTACATTAGACCTCTCCTCCGCCTCTGTGTACTGTTGAATTCAACGCTTCTGCAGAGGTTAGCAAAGGATAACGTATGTTCGTTCTACTGAGCGAAATAAAGTATTCAGTTGTCCTTCTCAACGCCTGCAATAACCACAACACGCATAAACAGGCGTGCATTTACGCGATCTCTGAGAAAAGAAACCCAAAGACACAAATCACTTCTCTTTTCGAGATATATTTCGCATGTTTCCTTCATAAAAACTCTGCCATATCCTTACAAACGCCAGTGGCCAATCAAATGAACTGTGACGTCACAAAGCAACGTGAATGAATAATTTCGTTTCAACTGAAATAACTAATTCTGGTAGCTAAAATTTTTCAATTGTTTTAAAAACGCTCTACCCAGATAAAATTAATATATTTATTTCCTTGTTGCTGTTTTAATTACAGGTGAAATGCAGACATCAGCATAAGCGTGTGATACTCCAATACGTCACCGATGTTCACAAAACGGACGTTTCCCAAACGCGTGTGTCATTGAAATACAAAATTGTTACCAATGAAATGGAAATAATGAAAACAAATGAAGATTTTTAGCTCCTTGAAGGTATTAAGGAGCAGAGTGTTTCTTCAGAAGCTAACAGTAGCTCAGCCAGTCAATAAATTTCCTGCCTTATATAAATGCACCTTTCACATAAGAGCCTGCACAAGGCTTTTATAAATTCAAGGTATTATCCCGGAGAAACTCTGGAAAAATGAAAATCGAAAGCTGGACCTCCCAAGCCCTACGGCGTACTAACCACTAACCGCGACATTTACCGCAAACAGAAGCGGAAACGGACATTAACCAGGATGTAGAGACAGCATTCTGTTTATCAACCTGAAAGCTAAGGCGGATGTTCATACGGGAAGCAACTGGGGAAAAACTTTGCGTAAGAGCTGGATTAAGTCCAGAAACAGGTCTGTCCCGGCCTAGATCCTACTGTGTTGCCACGCTCTGTAAAACCCGATTTCAAATAAAAACACGAAACAATTTTGGCGCATGCTCAGAAATACAAAACAAATATTACTTCTTCCTTCAGACAGACTTTATCGCACTTACAGTTGGTTCGATTCCAAGGTTAAATGTGAGACAACGGATTGTAAGTAACCCCTTGGAACAAAGTCCTTCAGAAGTTGATAATCGCTCAGCTAGTCTGACGAACACTTCGATTTAAAACAATTGATAAAAATTCTAGAACTGCATATCTTGGGTTCAGTTTCTTACATTGGAGACTGCAATACAAACGTTTCTGGGCTAAATATTTGCAGCAACTCCCTGAATTTTTTTTCCTGATCTTAGCGTCTTCTTAAATACGTCATTCCGAAATAATAACTAAAACATACCGCTGTGTTATGCTAACAAGGTCAACTCTGTATATTGTGAAATATGGTGTGATATTCCAGTGTCACGGCCTACACGTTTCGGCATGTTTACGCCATCATCAGGCTCTTGTTTGTAGTCTATACATTCAGGAAATACGCACACTGTAAGGTTTATCCACATTTCCTGACGTATATCATGTACAAACAAGGGTTTCATGACGGAATAAAAAGTATCGAAACATGTAGCCGACGCTAGCGGAATAGCGCATTGTATATTTCACGATACAGAATTGTACTTAACGGGTAATACAGTATCGAAATGGTAGGTATTTCCAGCTACCTACCAGCCGGAAATATGCCATAATTGTTCTACGAAACTCTGATCACGTGGCATGTAACTCATCCTGTAGAAATCCTATGACATGCGCGGTAGGGTTGAGGTTCCATTTCCGAACTTGGCGAAATTCTGCAGAACTAGATTCAAATTACCATTGCAGCTGACAAGCAAAGAAATAAAGTGTGGAAGATCATGATGCCTCCAGGGGTCTGTTGAGAAAAAGTCAGCCCTAAGGCATAGTACCACTTGGACAAGATTCCTTCTTCGTCTTTTAAAAAAAAAGGCTGCTGTGGGAGGTGGAGACGGAGAATGCACTCTCAAATAGCAAGGTCACGCAAGAAGCCGGGGCCCGTCTCATCGAACTCTCCTACGTACACACCACATTTAGTCTCAAAGGCAAATTCTACTGAAATGCTGGAAAGAAGCGAATTTACTGCTTTGCGTAACATTTTTCGCGTGACCGCTGTAAAAATAATTTATTAATGATCTCCATACATTAATCCTTTGAATCCAAAGCTCGTCTAAATAATATTTATGAATTCGGCCCGTACCGCGAAGAAAACACCGCACCTCACCATTGCAAAGATCAACTGGTAAACGCTGTTTTTAGGAGGACGAACCCCACTGCTGGCTTATTCCACTTTTACAATTTGAAGCACAACGTCAATCCGAATAATAATAATTTAAAACTCAGTTCCGACCTAAAAGAAAACACGTTCCCATGACAAAGATCATTTTTTACGCTGTTTAAGAAGTATAATCACTCTTCAATCCGAAAGTTATACGAAATTCAAAATTAGTATATATATTATACAGAAAAAAGTCACAGTTTTTATGTTAAATCAGATGCAACAAATAATTATCAGTGTAAACAACCATTCTACGAACGGAACTCGAACTCAAGACTGAAACGTTCGAAAGACCACGGCGACATCAGCGTATACGCTGTAATGACATCTTTATACCTTTATGTTGAAAATCGCGTGTTACAAATTAAGTGTGAAGGTAAAATAATCTCCAGTCCACGCTGAAGCCGATTACTATTGTACGCGTCATACTGCAAAATGTTCCTTCAGTAAAACACCAGGATACAAGCAAAGTACTAGACCGGCCATTCGTTAAACAACTTCAAGAGTCACGTAAGTATCAACTGAGGTGCGGGAGATAGGTCACGCCTCCAACAGCCTCGCCTGCTTCTTTGATGCCAACATCTTCTGTATCCTGTTCTATCAAACGAGGCTCCGAAAACCGAATCATGACATTATTAACCATTACATTACCATTACCATTACACTGTCAGGGTAAAGTTCAGGCCAAGGCGTTGTTCAACAAATTTGTGGGGGGAGGGGGGACTACCGAACAACCTTCACACCAAACAATACATCACCGACTTCCATTCTTCAAGGTCACAGAAGAATCGTGCAACGTTGCAAAGCTAGCAACGCTGTGCTACGGAATTACGAGTGGCGTGGTAAGAGGAGGGATTGATGAAGTCCTTCCGTGGCATTGAACATACAATTTCTTGACGGGTACCTTACCTTGCTTCAATTGTAGATGAAATGTTCAACGAACTTTAAAGATAAAGACTACATTTCAACATTCGTACCGAGAAATTATACCGGCAAGTCTTGACTTCTGCAGTATAAAGCAGACGAATCCCCTCTTACCTATCTGTACTTTGTTCTAGCAAAGCTACATAAAGTGTTATCGCGTTGTTTTCTCTCTTTATTATGCATTCGTCACGTGCCAAAACCAGAGGCCCCTTTTCACAAACATTCCCTAGAAAATAATACACGGCCAGGCACAAGAGATGCACTGAAGAGCCAAAGAGCGCGCGTATGTTAAAGCGTCTTTTATTGACTACTTCCAGTGGACGGATGTTTACGCAATTGCACACACATCGGAAGTCGGCCGCCACACCTCGTCCGATTCACCGTAAGTCTGGCAACACAACAAGATTCTACGATGTCCTGAACATTTTATAAATCCATGAAATGGAAAGGTGAACAAGGAACAGGTAAACGATTTGGTTGAATCTTAATTAGCCCTTTGAAGCTGATGTTCGTCTAAATAATATTTAAAGAATACAGTCCGTACCGCGAAGAAAACACACCACTTCACCATTACAAAGATCAAAAGGTTGACGCTGTTTAAGGAAATAATCGCTGTTTGCACTGAAAATCATTCGAAACCCAGACAAACGACAAAAACGCTTCAGAATATTTAGTTTCAATCCTAACCAAGGCCTCAGAAGATGATTTAGTCAACGCCACAAAAGTAAGGAAAACATATTGGATCACATCTCCAGGAAGGGTGCGCTGGAGAAGCAGCTGAAGAAGTTACTGTCTATGTAAACTACCCGAGACAATGCTCGTCTGTGTAATGGAATCTTCTGGTCTCTTCAGACCCCCCCCCCCCAACTCCCATTCTCTGAGATCATGCAGCAAAACATATCACTTAAATCTTGAAAGGATGGCATTGTATGACAGCGGCGAAACGCAGCTCGGGGATTCATATGATATGAAAGTAATTCAGATCACTACGTATATCCAAATCATTGAACCACTTTCTCTAAACATAAAGTCTGACTTATTTTATTTGCCTGATACACTAACGTGGACACGTGAAATACGAAGGAAGAAACACTTCATTATGCACTTTACCCAGGCGTACATGCATATTCTTGGAACTGACATAATGCCCCATAAGTCAAGTACGAAACCTGTGGACGTTTATTTCAGAACGTGATACAGTTTGTTGGCAAGGCCAACCAACTATAGGTGCACCTGTATTTGTCGACATAAGCATTAGTGACAAATGACAGGAGGTAGAAGGGTTTCAGTTGTACGTATAGTTTTGCTAGTTGAAAACTCCCCATCTTAACACTCAGATATCATAAAAAAACAATGACGAAGTTAGTAGTTTATCGTCACTGCAAAGGAACTTTTACTTATAATTAACAATAATTAAACGTAAACGTTCTTCATTATTCATAACAAGAAAAGAGGAAAATACGTTTGAAATGGGAAAGTTTGCTGGTTACAGAAGAAAAACATTACATTCAGCCCACAGATGCAAGGGGGGGGGTGAAAATAATTTTGCTATAATTGCTTTCATTGTGAAATTACGCGATTTGAATTTATTTTTTAGCTTACCTAAATCTTCGACGAGTTTCAACATCACACCACCAATGTGCAAATCGCCCTTCACTCGGAGTGTCCTTTCCACCTGCAGATCGGTGACGTACACACGCAGGTCCCAGGAACCGTCACCAACCAAATAACCATCGGCCATCATCTTGGTAATTTCGTTTTGTAAACAAACAATGCACGCACTACAAATAAAAGTTCTTGAAAAACGTAATTAAATTTCTTTCAATTTGTAAAGAAATTTTTAACCTCCATATCTACAAGTAACACGTGTACATCAAGAATGTGTTCATAACAAACCCTACCGCCACAAATACGAACGATAAGATACAAACGATACGGCAGTTAAGTGAAACAGTTAATAACACCACTGCAACAAAACGAAAGAAGCAACACTGTGCAGACACGTAAGACGTATAACATACGTCTACCTACTTTTCACAGGCACTGATGACTGTTCTCAACTCCGCGCCTCGCTACCCCCACTCCGCTAACTGGTAAAACTTTGCTACTGCTATGCCACATTTCTGGCCCAGACCCGCCGCTGTCTTATTAAGTGTCACTTCAATTACAAAGGTTGGTTAGGCCATTCTGTTTTACATATCCAATCATATGAGAAATCAGTTTTGTGTGTTTTAACTTTGTGCGTGGTTGAGTTTCTTTTTTGTTGCTGTTTGGGTAGAGAAAATCCAAACTTGTGGTTCTGAACTTAGCAATGTCCGTAAAAGGTAACGAGGACAATCTAGTTGAAAACCGAGTCTTGATTGGCTCATATTTGTGAATATCAAGGAGAATCGGAAGCAGCCGATGCCTCTGCTTTAACATCTCAATAAGAACCTATATTGACTAATTGCACACATTAATTACATTTTTAAAGAGCAAAATTAAATATAATGTGTCTGTGATCAAAATAACAAAATATTTATAAATACATTTAAATATGTCCTATTTCCCAATTCTTCCACAAAACATGTTGTTACATATGAGCTCGTTTGAGGGCAGCACTTTCCGGACCAACAGGTCAACCAACATTGTATTATAAACACTAACTCAGCATATTTGTGTTACGCGGTATTGAGCATCCTTGTTAGTCCTGGCGGGAAAGAGGATACCGTGTTTTAATTGATAAACACTGTAAGCGCTTATTTTCTGAAGCCTATCAAATGGAACACTTTTTGTACCAAATAGCTGTCGACCACTTACCATTTTAGTTCATGGTGTGTGTGTTTTTGTGTCGGCGCGCGCGTATACAAATAACTTTTGTACTTGCACGTGTGACTAAAACAAATCACGGAATACCAATCAAACGGACGCCTCTCCGCATGTGTACTGTGTTTCAATGCATTTACATTTAACGCGGCTTAAAATAAATTAAGAAAGGAAATTTATCACCTCATTTTAATTCTTTAATAATGCCATGGTATTCTACCTGGTAATCCGTGATCCCGCTTTGCAAAGTATGTCTTTCTTTCAAGAAAGAGTTACAATTTAACATGCAGAATCCCCTCCCCTTTGACGGCGATTAATGTAACCAGCAAAATGATTTTAAAAAGCAGACAAACTTCAATGGTGGTCGTATCGCTCATCCGATATGGTGAGGAGCCTTATTACAAATCCCCAATGCTTGGCAAACGGATGATCTTTAGTTTATTTTAAATACTGTACTTCAAACATTTTAATTACAGATGTTCATTGTATATAATTATTACATCACTTCAAGTTTAATATCATATAACTATGCTCTGTTAAAATGTGCTAGTAACAGATCAGAAGACCGTCATAGTGTAATTGCAGTGTGAGATATGGCACCGAACGTTTCACAAAACGTATGAATCAGAAGGAATGTTTCTTAGTGGTCTATTGGTACAACTGATTCAAACGACGTAATTGAAATGATATGCTTTACAGATGTGTAATAGTATTCGGTTTGTAATTAAATACGCTGTTGTTATATGTAAGTTGTATTACTAATCAATGTTTGATATATGTATTTCAAAAAGGAATTCATAAAGCAAAGATGAGTAATACAAATTAATCTTCATTCGAATATAGGTTAGGAAACCTAATGGTCATTGATACTGACGTCCAGAAATCAATTTCAGGCTCACAATAAAATTTTAATTTATTAAATAACAAACTGCCTGGTATAGTAAGTAATGTAAAACGGACGAAGAGAAACATAGAGCACCTAATATTCATTTCCACACATCTACCATAATACCTGGCATTTGCTGATTTTGTACTCATCTGGTAATTTGCTTGGCTACGTTAGCACAGCATTTAAAGGTATGTGGTTAATTAATAATTCATAATGAATATACATGTTGAAGGTATCTAGCTTTCCACCTACCAGTGCCAGTATGATATGAAATGTAATTATCATAGAACCCCATCACTCATTATTACCTTCCTTGTGTCCTTTGGAAGCATAGTCTGCATAGTGAATAGAATAGCAGAAACAGAAGAAAGTCTTGGTTAATATTTATAAAAATTGATTTCTGAAATAGCATCAAAATGGGAATGAGTTCAAACATTAAAAGCTTTATGAATTATTTGAAAGAGGGTTACATAGTTGTCATGCCTTGCTTTCTTATGGAAAGTGCTGAACAAAAGCACCTACCATTGTTCAGACAGTAATAAAAGCTTGAGGAAATCCATATTAAAATAGATGATTATTTACCTCTCTGTCCTTATTTATCAGCTTTAGCATAACTATCTGGTTTTATAGCACAGCATGTCACTGATAACTGTTCTGTGCAATAAATTTCTTCCTTACATGCTGCTTAGTCAATGGGGGAAAAAAAGACAACAGTAATAAAAATGGGTAAATATGACTTATAGAAATTTTTTAAAATTCACAGTTTTGGGATTAACTCTACAGATTTCAATTTTAAAACATGTTATTTTGGCATTACACATTGCTGCACAAGGTGACAAAATATGAAAGAAAAATCAATTGTATATTAATTACATAAGACACTGCATTTCTCTGACTTTATAAAGTGTACACTTTTGTAACATGCAGATATTTTCATGTTTTTTTAAAAAATCTCATGACAGCAATTTCTTGTTGTGAATAGGGCATAGTATGGGGCTAATTGCTTACATGCTGTAACAAAATATTAAAATGCTAAGCTAATTCAGTGTCATGATGTATATAGCCTATGGATTCTGTGAAAAAAGTATGAGATGGGTGTTTTCTGGGTTGTAGCACCATGTAGTCTGGTAGAAGTTTACCACCATTTCAGAGGTCCTTGCTGCCTCCATAATCAGGGCAACAACCCAAGAGACAGCCATCTTTGTACTCATCACTAAGAGAACCTCGAATCCTAAGTATGTGGAGGGTTTATTATATGTACATGGTATTGTCTGCACTATTTATGTAGCCATTATAGTGACTAATCTAAGAGTTATATATCTTCTTTCTTTTGAAATCTTATATTTCATCCACAACAGGAAAATAATACCAAGAACAACACAGTTGAATACAATGCTTCAAATGTCCAATACCACTAGACTGTGGCTGAAACACTTTTCAGATTACTGTTTGCCTTTGAAGTCATTCATATCAAGAAATGTAACAGTTACAACCAAGAAGAAATCCGCAGTTGTAGAGTGTCTTAAAAGTCGTGGTATTCTGAGAGTATCTGGTAAAGAGGCATCATCTTTCATGCAAGGTCTTATTACGAATGACATGAGACACTTAGAAGAAGGGGTGCAGAGCATGTACACAACGTTTCTAAATACCAAAGGGCGTGTCATGTATGATGCTATCATTTATCAATCAAAGGAAGAGAATGTTTTCTTAATAGAATGCGATAAATCAGCAATATCACATTTGCAGAAACATTTAAAACTGTTTCGTGTTCGAAGAAAGATCGATATAGACAATGTAGAAGATGAATTAAAAGTGTGGGTTGTATTTGATCCTAATTTAGCAGATACTGATGAGACAAATGTTAATAAAATGAAAAACATTCTTCAAGGTCAAATACTCTCACCTACAATAGAATCTCCTATTGATGAAAGTATCATAAAAGAACTTGAAAAGCATACAGATAATACAATAGTATGCCGTGACCCAAGACTTTCCACTTTAGGAGTTCGAATTGTAGCACCAGCCAGTGAAGATATTTCACTACAGAACGACAGAGGTGAATCTGTATATCAAGGAAACAATATGAGTTATCGTGCATTTAGGTATAAACTTGGGATCGGTGAGGGAGTGAATGATCTGCCACCAGAAAATTGCTTCCCATTAGAAGCAAATGGAGACTACCTACATGGGGTAAGCTTTCATAAGGGTTGCTACATAGGCCAAGAGCTCACGGCCAGAACGCATCATACAGGTGTAGTACGTAAACGTCTTATGCCTATAATTTTTGAATCAGTGCCACAAACTGAACTGGAAATAAATACTCCAATACATGTACCCAGTGGATGCAATAAAGTTTCTGTTGGAAAGTTACGAGGAGTCGAAGGCAATGTCGGACTAGCACTTCTAAGGATCGCACAGGCGCTCGATGCTTCAGAATTTAAAATCCTGAATGTGACAGCAGAAACCACGAAACCACACTGGTGGCCACAAGAAGCACCAAAGGACCGAATTTTCACAGTAAAAGGCTAGCTGAAAAGTGAAGTACAACTTCGTGAATAGTCATATTATGCTGTGATAAATATACCAGATGATATTATGTTTAACAGAGAATATCTAATAAATCATTTATGTTGATGCGAGTATAATGACCTGGTTTAACTTTCTTTTTTCCACCTTATTTCTGTCTCACACAACAATCAGGCTTTCCTATAAAAAAAACACTGCATTAAGTAAAAATCAGCGCTCATGTAAAGTTTGATTTCTAATAAAATAAGGTGTACACATGATAGTAACGATGCTTGAAAAAACTATCATGCTTGTTTTCATCATGTGCATATCAAAGTTAATAATTTATAAATTTCTACTCTTTTAAGAAATGAAGTTAAAACTATCATTGATTTTAGACAGTTAACTAACACTTTAGAAGCAGAACCCGCATGCTTGACACTTCTAATACCAAACCCCACCTCTGGACATCATGCCAAGCCCATTACATATATCTCCCATGTGTAAAACTAACAATAAAAACTCTTATCAGCACAAAACAGAGGTCATGTTGAGTACAATTAAAGGATCCATATTTAGTGAAATTAGCTTTTTTTCTACTTTACAGTATTACATTTATTCCTATGGAATGTGACAACAGTAAGTCTGAAAATCCTCCACGTGATGCAACGGAAGGTGGTATATTTACCTGTGTCAGGTGTGGGTTAAAGGAACATTACTTCTACAAAGGAAAGAAACCACCATTCACTAAGAAGATTTCATTTCGTGAAGATAGTTACGTGATGAAGGATCCATTCTCGCCACCCAACAAAAATCAGTTGCTGCTTCTAGGTTCTGACTGCAGTCTCTGCAATATTCCTGTGTGTCAGTCTCCTGACTGCAGCATATTCTACACAAGACGATTCTGTATATCCTGTGCTGAGGAAAATTTAAAGAATTTTCCTTCTGCTGTCCAAATTAAACTGAAGAAGAAGAAGCCATCAACAGACAAATGTAATTGATATATAACTTTTGTCAGTGGCACCCTGGAAGTACTTTTTGACAACTCAAACTTCTCAGTTTGTTCGTGTTACCTCTCAAGCGTACTATGGGGGGTGGGGGTGGGGGAGCTGAAAATTGTAACTATTGTGACTATAATTCATGCCTTATTTGCATTAATTATGTCCTATTTATTCAGAATGCCTATATTTGATCATTTTGCTATGTGCAAACATGAGAAATATTTGTGCATTCATTTTACCAATTTTTTCCTGGACAGTTATGAGTTGAACCATCATGTAAAAACACTGGGCCTAATTTAGAACAAAGAATTTAAATGACCTTCAGTGCAATAGTAAACTAAAGTAATTCAAAGGAAACTTATTTAGAAGCAATTGCATCCATGAAAGAGTTCCCTCATTGGAGTTAAACAAATCAACGTAATAGAACCAACTTACAGATAAATCTTATTTTAATAAGCACAGCCATTCTGAAACAATTGTTAAACATACTGCAAATATCACTAATAAAAATGATGGGTTTATTATATTTTTTGTTTACTTATACATTTTTAATTTACATTCAATTAAAATGCACTTTGATAAAAACTGTTATGTACTTGATTACAATAAAAACATTCACTCTTTTTTACATAACTGATTCTGACGCTGTTTCTAAAAATCAAACTGTGATTTGATAAGTCCTCTACTAACACTATATTTACTTTACTTATGGATACAATATTATTAAATAACCCGATAAAATGACTTAATGTGGCCTGCAGGTGACCAGTCTTCTGATGACAGAAAGTTGTAAATCTCTAACCTAAGACAATAATGACAATTTGATGCAGAAAGAAAATAAGTAATGGAAAAATACAAATTCATGAAAGATGAATTGGTTAGTTTAGTGGTACATAATGAGGAACATTATTTCATATACATTTTTAGCAGTCATGACATTATCTTACAAAGTAACAAACTCATCTAATAATGTTAGGCTCAGTAATCAAGGAAAAAAGATGGCCGTCTTCTATAATGTTGCACTGTGTAGTCTGGTCGAAGTATACTGATATTTCACAGGTGCTTGCTGTCTCCATCACCAGGGTGATGAGTAGGTAACTTTATATTATAAAAGTTCATTCAGAAGAGCAACATTATGAAATTTGACTTCAATGATGTTGATGCACAAAGTTGTACAGCCTCGGTTATAATAACAGGCTTTTACTATGGCAGAAATCAACTTACTGATTCCAAATTATCATAGCAGTATAAGTTATGTGTATATATGTATACACACACACGCACATACACATGATTGTGTATGTGTGTGACAGATCCAAAACTCAGATGTCTCTGCTTTCATTTTCTACAAACTGGTTTGCAGAGCTTCGTTATACGGAATCGCATAACTCACCAACTACTGCACAATTTTTATTTTCTTGAAAGCTTTAACTTAATCATCTTTGCTAAAGACTTTATTTTTAAAGCAGGTTTCTTCACTTTCTTAAGCGCAACCTTTGATTTTGGAGCCAGCTTAATGATCAGAGCCTTCTTTTTCAGTTCACTTTTGTTCTTTTTCTGCAAATACATAACAAGAATTAGAAAAATATAAATACAGCACGAACAGTGTACAGCAAGTATTCTGCAAAACTGGCAACAAACAGTGAAATACTAAATTAAATAACAATAAAATAAACCTGCATAAAAACATATCAATAACTGATATAAACATGTTGATGTACAACAAAAATTGATAACAAATTAAGTGGTATTTTAAAATGCCATCAGCACTACAAATTTAACTTAATAAAAAAAATTTAATACCATCTTTCAGGCTTATAATACAAAGAAGGCATAAGAGGAAGTAACATCCTCGTATGAGCCCATTTTTACTTTTCTAAGTTCTCAATAAGCAACTGACCACTTTATTCAGGATGAAGGATTGCTTAAGGGTAAATCAGATATAAAAGCTCAATACTCATTCATGCCCAACCTAATTGTATTCTATGCTAACATCATCATGCCAAGAGCTATGCTGGCGGTAGCATAGCTACTGGTAGGGCCTCCCTAGCCAGATTGGTCGAGGGGGAGAGGTCAGACTAAGACAGGTGCCCTGGTCCTCCAGGTTGGGGGTTGGTCGCAAGGCTAACAACCTTGCACCGTAAAAAGGAAGATGTTTTGAAGCCTCAGACAGACAGACCTAACAGAGGACCGAATGAAAGAGGAGAATTGAGGAGGCCGTGGACCGAATATGGATCGGAGAGCAACAGGAGAAGAAGAACATCGTCATAATACCTGGACGTGGCTGTAAATAAACCCTTCAGAGAAGATATGAGGGCAGCTTCATCCTAATTGGCTGTTGAAAAGAAGCCATGTCCTTTCTTTTACTGGCAAACCTAAACATGTCCTTGGTAACAATACTAGGGAATGGATCTCAACAAACTCAAGAATTTCTACTGACTTCATTCTTTCTGGCTCCAAATTACTTTGCATGGCACTGAAGATACATTTTGTGGAAGAAAGAATGAAAAATTTGGAGATGATGGTGATTAGGATAGTGAAATGAAAACTGTGCTTTTAAATGAGTAACAATCACAGAAAACAATTTGCAGAGATACTTTGTAAGAGATTTCAAGGTCTTATAAAGTTCTTTTCAGCAAACAAATTTGTTATATCTGCTTGAGATTACTGCACCCACATTTCATTGTATTCAATAACCTAATGAAAGAACATACTATTAATACATTATGCAATGTTACCTTTTTCAGCTTTTTATTTCCTGTGATTTTCTGTCCTTGGAACTGAGAAAACTCTTTACTAGGCTCTGTATGTTTTATCTCTGGCTTTTTATCAGAATCAAAAATATTACACACATTCCCCTTATTTTCATGTTCTTCTGCTATGTTTGTTTCTTCATTGCGTTCCGTTTTTGGGAATGACTTTTTCAATTCTCGGTTTCTGTTTTCCGTTCCGCTATGAGGTTTTCCTTTTGGTTTCTTAACGCATCGCTGCACACGAAGTTTTCTTTTATTTAACTCTTCACCATCAAGTTTTAGTGCAAGTTCCACAGAATCAGCACTCTGTAACATTTTGGGAAAATAAGGGAAAATCCTACAACTTCAATTTCTGGAAACAACATAAAATACATCCCTAAGGATAAAGACATTCAAGTTTTATTTGCATGCAATTAATAATGCTGAGATTAACATGAAGAGAAGAATTTGATTTCAGGGATAACCACTGCTTTGATCTTTACAGTTTGAAGAATAATAGAAAAATTATGAGTAACTGGCAAATACATTTATTTTATTTTTATTGATTCTAAAAAAAGGCATATGATGTTATACACAGACATGAAATATGGAAATTTGAACACATTTTTTGAAATACAGTGTGAATAAAGGTTAGTTAGGTTGTATTAGTTCTGAGAGAAATGTCCAAAACTCCAAACTAGCTGAAATAAAAAAAATACCTCAAAATTGATGTAAGCAAATCCTTTTCCCACACCAGTCGTTCTGTCTCGTACCAATCGGATGCTAGAAATTTTGCCACAGGACTCGAAGATTTTCCATAAATCATCATCTTCAGCAGCTGAAGCAGATAGGCAAGATGGATATTAAATACGCTTCATGATTTCACGTTGTAATAAGAGAGTTGCCACGTGTCACTGTATGACACATTAATAAACAATTATGGAGCGTAAGCAGCAGCTTTGTCAGACTTGATACAGCTTTTCTGTTGCAGTTCTGCAATTACTGACACCACAGAACGAAACGCAATAAAACTGATGTGTGTCAACTGAGACACAACTAAGTACCTACTCCAAACATCCAACATAGAGATTTAAAGTGACATGATTTTACATGAAACTAGTGGGATCTGAGGTTTTTACAGCGGTGAGTCTGAATATTGGTGTCTTCTGGGTTATTGCGCCGTGTAGTCTGGTCGATGTTAACCAACGTTTCAGAGGTCATACTGCCTCCATCATCAGGACGATGAGTATGAAGATGGCAAGGGTACAAGAGGTACATCTTCCAGTATCAAGCTCATACCTTATGATTTACTATAGATTTAGATGGTGATTAATGAATACATTCAAAGAACATGTTTATGAACCCACCGAATGGTACATTTCCAAGAAACACTGCTTTTTTCTGGTCATAATCTGTTTTTCCTGAAGCCATGTCCACTCTGATGTGATGTTCTTCAAAAATTGTCCCATTTGCCACAAGAGCTTTCTGAGCAGATTCTGAATCATGAAAGGTAACAAAAGCATGAATACTATTCCTATCAGGATGGAAGTCTCTCTTAATTACTGCCACCTTTTTGGGGACCCTCGGATCTGCCAACGGAGGACAACGAAGCCTCACAGATTCCACCGTACCATATTTCTTAAACAGTCTCTTAAGCTTCTTCATGGTCACAGAGTGTGGCACGTTGCCGACAAATATGGATCGAGCAACGCGATTCTCTTTGACGTCTTCATTTTGTAATGTAATTTTTCTTCTCATTTTCTTCTCAGTGCGTTTCACAGCATACGAAGCGCTTGATTTTACGCTTTCAGGCTCCACAGTATCAGCCTTAGTTTTGTTTCTGAAAAATTAAATGTAAATCTTAAAAATTATAAAATCAGAGCAAACCCTTCTACCTGTCACACTCAGTTGTAACATGAGGAAAAACAGGACAGTACTGAATAGAAGTCTAAGGCTAGGGACCCACTGTCGCGGCGTGGCAGCCGCGTCAGTGGGTTTCGCACCTATAAAAAGCAATACAAATATCAGCCGCGCGCGACAACACTTGACACGCTGCAAGCGGCTAGTCGCGCCAGTGGGTCCCTAGCCTAAAGGGTCAATGAAATGATCCCAGCAACAGGGCTCAGTTAAGTAATAAAAGTTAAATTTGGTGGTTTCTAAAATTACCAACGTTTCAGAAATATAATTACTAGCCAATTTTAAATTTTGAGAATGATCTATTTATATGTGGAGAACATATGGAAAATAATACATAATTATGCCACATGAATTAAACTATTATAACCTAAAAATATTCCCTACAAATCTGCCCTGGCATAAGATTTGCCAGTACAGGGATTTTTCTGCTTTTGTGTATTCTCTTAATATATTTCATATTTCTTACAATAAAAATTAGGAAAAAACTTAAAAAAAATTCTGACCTGTAAGCATTTGAGAGTACATATGATCCTGAAAACTCATCAGTAGCTTTTATTTTGCCTCTTTCCTTCTCAGAGTTATGCATGGCTTGAAATTTTATGTTGATTTTCCCTTCACTGACATTTTGGAAAAGTTTTGATTTTTTTGCAGCAGCTGGTGATTTTGATCCTGAGATAAGGCTAGCCAAACTTCCCACTTTAAATTCCATTATCAATCTGAAAAGAAATAAGATGCAATGTGACACTATTATTGGAGGCCACACAATGAATGGTACTTTTGATATCAGAAAGACCAGTCACAAAATTCTGATATCTGAAATATAGAAAATTGTATGCTAAAGCAAGATATATTGTATCAACATGGTTCTTATAAAAAGTGGCCACACTAACTATTAATTATAGTTTCACCACCTACATCCTAGATTAAGGAAAAAATATTTATAATGTGGTAACCTGGGACTACAAAATTCTTGTCACTTAAAAGAGAAATTTCCACTACCACAGACACAAAATCATTGAGTTAATGGCTAACAAATACAGCTATACAGAAACCACTACATGCTAACTTTACAATACTGAATTATCTCATGTTGATCATCTTGATTACCAAAGGATTTAATAAGTTCTGGGAATGGTATCTGATGCCTCTTCTTTAAAGTATGCCATTCATGGAGCCCAGTAGCCCAGTGGAAATTAAGAGTCATTAAAATCAACAAGTAACAGACATTTGATATTCTTTTAATATATCATATATATACACATAAACAAACAATTCAAATCAGCAGGGAGTATGAAGGAATGGATGTGCAGCAAGCACATTTTAATACATGTTGGAAAACTGTAAAAGCCTTGGGGAATGTGAAAGTTATACAAAACTCCTAGAGCTAAGGGGATAGATCCAGCATCCTCTGGCTCTCGGGGGCCATCCAGCCTTCTATCCAATGGGTACTGAAGGCTCTTCTTTCAGGCGGGAGGTGTAAAGCAGTCAGGATGTGAAGCTGACCACTCACCTCCATGTAGAGTCGATGCTAGGAACGTATGGAGTTAAATCTCTACTCATAAGTCTCTATAGAGTGGTGCTTACTTAAGGACAGAAACAACTTTAAGTCTTCAATTGCACTGGTTATGTGATATCAGGTGATAGGGTGATTTGATAATGATAAACTAGAAAAGCACAAACCTCAAAAACAAAATAAAACATTGCAAAGACAGTCAGTCTCCACACCAAGTTTCAAACTTTGGGCCTCCTGAAGAAGAAAGTACGAAGTTCGGTTTTGTAATGTCAATGAACAAACTCACTGGAATTACTGTACAGACAATTAAGTTTACGCCCCTCTTGTACTTAACAAATTCAATAAATAAACAATAAATTATGTTTGAAAGGCCACATACGTTTACCCCCAAACCTCGGTAGTTGTTTCTACTCTTACATGTACTCATCTTTTGTGTCTAGAATCAATGTCTTACGCACTTATATTACCTTATTTTCAGTAAAGACTCACGAATAACACGAAGCTACTTAAATTTGTCTTCTTTGCTATAAACATCAACATCAATTTCGTAATAACAAATTGTTACTACACACTACGCACACCTACGTACAGGTGATTCGAGTAGGAACACCAACCTTGCTCTACTCAAACGAATTCAAAATGCGAAGTTGGTAGACCTCGGACTCTTTGATGCTTGTAAATTGAAGTATTGTAATAATAAACTTGAAAATCATTTAATCATGAGGCGAATTGGGGAAATTAATGTATCCTCTAGAAAAGTATATTTAAAACTGTTTCAACTGAGACGTATTGGGGAAATTAATGTATCCTATAGAAAAGTATATTTAAAACTGTTTCAAATATGATTTTATATTATTTCATATTTAATTATGACTGACGCAAGTAGAACTTGAAAATATGGAAGGCGGTGCATATGTAAACACGTGTGTTGATCGTATAGTACAGCAGCATTTAAGTATTGTCAGTAATCTGTAATGAATTATAGCTCTTGCATTGGAAACTCATCACCATATAAATGTTCATAATGGATTCACAGAAAGATGGTATAACCATTTTCTCGAATTTTGTTGCCCACCATCGTGGTCAGTTGGAATCATCAGGTGTTCCTGAGCACTTTTGGGAAGTTTTGTGTAAGAAGCTGAATGAACAAGTATTTGATGCAGGAAATACATTTAAACTATTGAAAACTGAATATGAAACAGAATCGGTCAAACCATCATGGCAAGTTGTAGTTTCTCGAGAGGAAGGTGTAGAAGTGAAAGACGCAAGTCAAATATATTTAATAGATCATGCTTGGACTTTCCAAGTTTCTGAAGCAAAAAGACATTTAAAGACCATCAGTGGTCTTCTTGAAAGGATGAAAGGTCTGATGGGTATTGAAGATGACATTGCTGATGATGAAGCAGTAGACTATGTTCTCAATGAAATGTGGAAATTCAACCAAACATATACTGTTGGATCAGTGTCAAATGCAGAAGAGAGAATTCCTGTGTGGTATATAATGGATGAATTCGGGTCAGCAATTCAACATTCCAATGAACCAACTTTCAGAGCTGTACCATTTATTCAAATGCCACAGCAGGTGCCATACACCCTCCTTTTCCCTGTTAAGGATGTGGCCACAGGTGAAGAAGTTACGAGGGATTATGTGGAAGGACCTATAACACACCCTTCTTTTAGAGATGCATTATTGTTGCCTTGGTTTCCAAAGTCATTTGTATTAGAAGATTTCAGGCAAGAAGAACCGGATGAAGAATATTTTTTGGAAGGACATGTAATTGAATCTCTGCCAGATCTAGATGGTGATCATACCTTTAAACAAGAGCACAAAGCAAAGCTTAAAGTATATTCAGAATATAGTTTTGTGAACAAGTATCTTAAGCATCCTAAATTTGAGATCACATATGTAGAGGAAGATGCAGACATTCTTTGGTACATACATCATTTCAAAGATTACAGAGAATTGAGAGAAAGAAAGTCATCTGCTTTTGTAAATCAGTTTCCGTTTGAAAATGTGATCACCATAAAAGATCTAATTTGCATTGTCAGCCGACGGACTTCAAATGATATTGAAGATAGTGACTCGGAAACACTAGAAACAAAGCCTTTGTGGTTGCCAACAACATATAACCTCAAGACTGAGCTCCTGAAATTTGTTAGTTATTACCAACATCGCCAAGGAAAAGGTTTAGATAACCACTGGATCTGCAAACCATGGAATTTGGCCCGAGGTATAGACACGCACATTACAAATAATTTGAATCATATTTTGAGATTGCCATTTACAGGCCCTAAAATAGCTCAGAAGTACATTGAGGACCCAGTACTTTTTAGTAGAGCAGACTGTGGAGATGTGAAATTTGATATTAGGTATGTTATTCTTCTCAAAAGTGTGAAACCATTGGTAGCATATGCTTACAGGAATTTCTTCCTTCGTTTCTCCAACAAGCCATTTGAACTTTCCGACTTTGAAGATTACGAGAAGCACTTCACAGTCATGAACTATAGTGATAGTGCTTTACTGTATCGTAAATTGTGCCACGAGTTTGTAGACGAGTTTCAGCATCAGTACCCAGCACACAAATGGGATGATGTTGAAGCAAGTATCTTTAAAATGTTGCATGAGCTGTTGGTGGCTGCAACAAGCAGAAATCCTCCCATTGGAGTAGCACACAACACACAGTCACGTGCCCTATATGCAGCTGACATCATGCTAGCCTGGCGGATGAACAGTAAAGGGCGCTTAGTTATGCAACCCAAATTGTTGGAAGTTAACTGGGCCCCTGACTGTCAAAGAGCATGTGAATATTATCCAGATTTCTATGATGATGTATTTGGTATACTTTTCATGGATGAAGAAAAGGATGTATTCAAATTGCTGTAATGAATCGTCTCTAAGATACAGGCGTGTACATTAACTAATGTCTTTTATGATTTTCAGCTTAGTCTCTGGCAAATACAAAACTGTTTTCTTTGTTGTGGGTATTTAGTTTCTGAATCATTCTTAACTTTATTACCAAAATATGTAGTAGGATAAGTAATGATGTTTGTAATTGTAACATGCCACTGTTTATAATAAATGGGATGACAGCCTGAAATCTGTATTATGCTTTATTACTGAACTGCAGATAATTATTGGCTTTACCATTATTTTGTCTAAGAAGCATAAGTTTTATTTAATTTCCAATGACCATGTTTGATTTGTGGTGGACAAAGTGGCACTGGGACAGGTTTTTCTTCAAGTCCTTCAGTTTTCTCATCAGCATCATCCACCAATTCTGCATAGCAATAATTTAGAAAAGAAACCTCAAGCTCAAAGCAGAAAACAGGATACTCCAGTTTACCATGATAGATTAACAGCAACCCAAAATTCCATCAGTAATAATTAATACATAAGAACACTTGTTCTATGTGAAATGTTTATTAAATGTTAAATATTAAAAGTTTGCTTTTATAAAAGATCTTGTTGAACACACAGGACTTCTAAGTTAAAGGTGCGTATTTTGTGATAGATTTTCTTATTAACAGTGGAAAGGATAATACAAGGAAGTGGAAAATAACCCTGTTTTTGAATAGTCAGCTCAGTAAATTGTGTCAGCTGGTTTAAAGGTTCAGTTTGTGATATTGCTAGATAGAAATGGAAACTTCAACATGAATTCTCATGTCTAAAACCTCATAAATACAATGATTCTTATATTTTTGTTTTGGAAAAATTGTCTGTGCATCTAAAATGAAGAACACAACTGTTATTGTTTGGTAAAATTAATCAAGACCATAGAAAATAATTCTGGAAGCAGCAGTATATTTCTTCACAAGCTTATACTAGGTGAACTGTTAATCATTCATTTGAACCCCAGTATCTGTGATCTCCCACACAAGAGTATCTGCCACCTGCTTTGGCCTCCACCTACCAGAATGCAGCCTTTGATACTTGTGAATTGTTCAGTTAGTAAGGTTATGTTTCTTTACCTTCATTACCCATATGATGCAGGTTATGTGTGACCATTAATCTAGGAGCTGAAGTCCAGCAGGCAACTATATAATTTGGGTTTAAATCTCCTGTTTGCACATAATAAAGGTTAAACAAATTACAATTTTGCTACTTAATAAACTTTCCAAGCATCTTATTCAGCTTATCAGGTGGCTTGCAACTGTCTTCCTTCCATCCAATGGAATCACACTAGGCCTGAGCACTGAATGACAAACACTTACAAATATGGACTACATTTATTACACATGTCATACACATGTCATGGTAACAAGTAAGGAATTGGAAGTGATTTTAAATTAGATAGATACTTTGGATTATATAGTGGTGTTTCAAGAATAATTTGTAGAACCCTCTGCAGCTGAATGACAATGTTAAATGTACATGTTAACACATAGCAAATTCAGTGAGTATTGCCAATCTGATTTAACTTGCACTTTCTATCTGAATTCACAACTGTCCACACTCCTCCAGATGCAGCGTTACTGCAATGATGACGTTAAAGCGTGATGGGTATAGCAAAACTGCAGTATATTTTTACTGTAATGAAGAATAATTTATATTAATTTTATGTACAGTTATCAATTTATCTTTATTCTTAACACAATAAAGTGCTAATATGATTCTAACAGTTTGTACATTACATGGAACTTTCATACATTTTACATTTGTGCATAAAATAGATGTCTCGCATGAGTCAAGCTGCGATTTGACTCTCACAAGTTGTTAAAATATTAAGTCTGTCTTTACAAGCCTAGTATAGAAATCAAGTGGCTAGAACAATGAACTATTATCTACACCAGTGGTATTCAACCTGGGGTACGCGAAGACATCTTAGGGGGTACATGAAATTTAAAAAATATATATATTATTTTATGATAAACACTGAATAATGAGTAATGTAGTTTATTTAGTGTATTTTAGATGTAGATTATATACTATGTATAACTTGAATTATACACCAACAACTTTGGGGGTACAAAGTTGAAGAGAAATTATATCTGGGGGTACGCGAACAAAAAGGGTTGAATACCACTGATCTACACCATCCCAAATTGTATGAAGTATTTACAAAATGGACAATTATATTATTCTTACACCACTCAACAATTTTGTTTACAAAATGTATTTCTTGGAATTAATAAAGGAATTTTTACAATAAATCTGTACTCTAATTTACAGTAAAGATTTGTACATAAATTTTGAAATGTTCTGTTTTGGTGCACAGCAAATAAAACTTTATGTTCCAAAAATGTTACATTTACCTCTGGTGGAATTGTAGACTGTGCATTAACTGACACTGAATAAAATATATGAATTTTGTAATGTGTGAGACTTCACATTTTTGTATCAATACTTGTTGAGCAAGTGTAAACATTTTCAATAATTATAAATTAGTTTAGTGATCTGAAAACATGACAATAATATTTTAAAAGTCCGTATAGTAGTACCATTTAGTGACACCATATAGCATAGTCACACAAAGACTAATAACATGTATATACACAAGTAATGAGGACAAATTCATGCAGTGCCATTATTTTGAGTAAATGAGAAACTTCCTCTCAAAAAAAGGCACTGCCTTTTGAGCAACAACAAATTACTAAAAGTTGTAAAAAATACTTAGTCAACCAGAATACGAGATGTAAGAAATGCATTGGCAGACTGGCTCACGGAATGATAAAGCTTTTAGAACTCGTTACGCCTCGTAATGTTATCGGAAATTAAGACAGTGATATTCTTTAAATGTTACAACACATTCACAATAGTTTTATATGGATTTTGAATTATTTTATAAAAAGTTTGAAAATACGTTTGTCACAAATTTACCTTTCCTTACACACTAGAAGGATTAATTTGTGGATGGGAGTCCATTTATTCAATCACAATGACTAATACAAGATTTTACAATCCACATTGTTCTAGATATGTGTAGATGGTGAATCCAAATATTTTAATTTTTAGAGACTTGCACATGACATTAACTTTCCAAAATAACAATATATTGTATTACCCTATCAATGAGATGCAAAAAGACACATTTAACTTAATGACACTTATTATTATGATGGAATGAAACATTTAATATTGAGTACTTGTATCATAATTTTGCAATTTGTGTTGATTTACTTCAATTTAATGTCAATTATGAATACATGTATCTGTTAATATTTATTTTAACCCTCACGTCTCTGTAAATTTATTAAATCACCTCAGTGACCCCAAGAGCTATGCTGGGGGTAGCATAGCTACTGGTAGGGCCTCCCTAGTTAGATTGGTCGAGGGGGAGAGGTCAGACTAAGACAGGTACCCTGGTCCTCCAGGTTGGGGGTTGGTCGCAAGGCTAATGAAGATGTTTCGAAACCTCGATCAAAGCCTCGGACAGACGGACCTAACAGAGGACCGAATGGAAGAGGAGAATTGAGGAGGCCATGGACTGAATACGGACCGGAGAGCCATAGAAGAAGAAGAACAAAAATAATTATTTAATATATAAATCTGAAATTCCATGGTATGAGAACTTGAAATGTGAAGCAACATACAGAAGAGAAATACCCATTATTCATCCAATGAAGTCTTCTCAGGCTATCAGCCATTTCAGGTGGTAATTAAAGCTATAGATCACAAACCCATTATTCATTTCTGTAAGTCTGAGAGATCAAAAAAATTTATGTTAGAAGTGAGGGCTAATACAGTTTGGCTCACACGATTGAAAGCAATTTGTTAGCTGCTAGTATTTAAATTAACACTCTT